GCCGTAGAACTTAAGTTCCGACTTATCTCTGACGGCACGCGCCCGCGGCCGACGGAGTGAGAGAATGATAGAATGATGTGAATGAGTGTGAGTGTAAGAGAGAGGAGAGAGTGGCACCCTGTCCCACTACATTATCCCGTGTATTGGACTTAACGACATGATGAGGGATTGGGAGCTCCCATTGGTTGCGCCAACACCATTCAAACTCTGGGTTTTTTTCTTCTTCCAATGTTGTCCCATTCTTCACCTTGCGTGATCCTGCACCTATAGTGCTTCTCCGTCCGCTTCCCGGTTTTCCTGCTCCATCTTTTCTTCTTCTTCCTACTGCTGTATGTACTTGTTGTTTTTCTATCCAAACTCCCCTCGTCGTCCTCCATATATCTCCAACGTATGCCCTTGTCGTCTTGGCCCTCCCATCAATCTCCACAATCCGCCTTCTTCTTATTCTCAATACACGCCCCCGGGAACCCCCCCCCTTGCTCGCTCCCCTCCTTCACTAGCTCATCAAGCCCCCCTCGTCCATCACCATCACCATCGACCACCCCCCCCTTGCTCTCTGTCACGACCTCTTCTTTAAACCCCCCTAGCTGCGGAATTACTTTTTTATTTTAATTTTTTTATTCTTTTATTCTTTAGCTTACGTGCGTTGCACCACCACCCCCGCGCGGCAGCTGCGTCGTTGTAGTGCTGCCGCCGCCGCCGCCGCTGCTGCTGCTGCTGTATGCACGCTTTGGTGGTTGTTGGGCAACAACGTGACGAGGCGTACATTTCATTGTAACAGTAACCCCAAGCACCCGGGCAACAACACAAAGTGATGAACAAGATGTAAATCAAATTTAAATAACCCCCCCAAAAAATGTGGGAAAAATCCCCGCCCCCTCAGGGCAGGGTTTTTTTAGGACTTTGGATCTCTCTCTCTTGTCTCTCTTTTCTTAGCATCTCGTCGCCCACAGCCTCGTTGCAACCCTTTCATTTCTCGGCCTTGTAAGGATCCGGCAATCACATCTGATCACTTGTGATCTTCAACCTCATTCGTTCGGTTCTCCGTATCATCGTGCGGTTTCTAGGTTTTCTCGTATCTTTTTTTTCTTTATTCCCTGTTTCCCTACACCTTTCACCTTTCAGCTCTCACACTCTCTTTTGCTGATCTGAAGCAAACCTCTTTCAGTCAAACATCCCTCCCTTCCCCTCATTCAAAATCACTAATCAATCACACACATCTAGTCCTAGTCATGCCAGTCACTCATTCACTCTCACATGCCTCTTCAAATCCTTGCCAGCTGCCAGATCTATTGAATATTACACCACCTCACCAACACAGATTCGTCATAATCCTTTCCCCTCTTCTACTCTTCCCCCCCTCTCTCTCTCTCATCTCTCTCTTTGTCTTCCCGGAGTTCCGAAAAATCACCACCAAGGGTACAGAAGCAGAGCCATTGCACAATCACTATCAATCTTCTCCACTCCTCCCTAGTATTGTTCCTTAGGCCGTTTTTTTACCCTTGTGTCAGCTAAAAGCCAAACTTAAGTTATCATCTGGGCGCTTCGCGTATTGAAGCTACAACCCCGGTTGAGCTTCTTCAGTGGTTGATGGCCCTCGGTCAAAACGATTGAAGGATTCACTTCACACGACCTGTCGTTTCTTTTTCTTTCTCTTTTCTCCCTTTCCCCTCACTTATTGAGTTATTTTTTTTCTCCCTCTACTTCTTCAAACTCTTCCTACTTCTTCCTATCTTCTCCTCTGTCCGACATCCGGCTTGTCTTTTACACGTTTGCTTAGGGCGGTCTTTTTCTCTACATACTAGTATTATCTGCATTCCGGTTGTACCCTTGTTAAATAGTTACTCGGCCATTCCCTGCCGAAAGTCAATACAATGCTCTCTCCACTTCCACTTGCATCCCGCTATTCCCACCTTTTTTTTTCTCTCTCTTCTGTCTTTTCTCAATTGATGATTTGTTCCGTACTGTACACTACCCTGTCTAGGGACGAGGTATGTAGTTACGTAGTCTAATGTATCGGTGCGGTGCAACTGGATTCGCGCCTCTTCCGTTAGCTCCCTCCGCCGTCCGTCTACTCTATTCGGCATGTTGCTCGTTCTCCTCTCCCTTGCCTGCAGCTAGCTCCATGCACTTGTACTTGTTCTGTTCCTTATCACGAAAAGAATTAAACCCACACTAGAAGTGGGAATAAAGTGAACTAAGGTAGTTTTTGCCCGCGCTGGCCTGGCTGGGCTCCGCCCTCTTCCTCTCCAGAGCGCCTCGTCACACTTCATCACGTTTTTGCACACACCCCTCACCTTGTCTTTTTTGCCTTTCTGGTGTTAAACAGCTAGCTTCTGCCGTTTCCCCTCAATCCCCACGTCTCATGAAATCTCATGAATTCATGACAGGGTCGTTTCTATATACATACTGTATACACAGTACGGAATCCGTTGCTCTCCCGGGAATGCCGCCCGGATGATGCACTAGAATCACTCTTAGGCGCCGGTGGCATCATGTTGTGAGACCAAGCGGCCGAAACGACAAGCCCGCTGCCAGCACCTGCATGGATATTATCAATGGTGACCTGAGGAAACGACCCATTATGATAGAATATCCAGCGTCTGGAATTGGGCCTCTTTTCGGATTCGTCCGTCCGCCGATAGAGAGTAGGCAGTAGACCGTCTTGAGCTTACATGGTCTAGACTACTAGTGGCCACCCCTGCTGTATGACCAAGTCATCAATCAACCTTTCACAATATGGCATCTTCGCTTCGCCCGTCTCCGCGCATAACACACATGGTAGTTTTGTTAGTTTGGGCGTCATGCAAAACCTCTCTTCCCCCAATGAGAGGAGCAACATAACGCCAATCGCCACCACTTGTGTCCCTAATTTCTTTTTTTTTTGTATCTTATTTTAAAACAAAAATCTTTTTGTGAGGAAGTCTTTCTGGCCTGCCCAGCTTGCGGGCTATGCATGGTATGGTGCCATGCTGTCATGACGTTGCCCTAACGTCTCGTTCTGGAAGACGGTGAAGCCTGCATATGCCAGAGCTGCGAGACCGTGGATGCCCAATGCCCAAACGGTAAACGCACATGTAGCTAGTCAACAAGTCCCATGGAATCCCTTTACCGAGAAACTGTACTCATGATCTCAAGCCCCGTCCATTGCGGAATTGATGACAAGGTAGTCGGAGTCCCGGGGATTCCAGTTGCGCCGAGAATATGATATCTCACGAACTCCTGAAGTAAAAATCATTGGTCAATGGCTGTGCCAAGCACTATCGGCCGTCATGTCACCCTAGGGTCCATTCAGCTCAGCGCCTGCGCGCGTGTGCGTGTGTGCGTTTGCGTGGTGGCGTGTGTGTGTGTGGGTGCGGGTACGGGTGCGTGAGCGGGTGTGCGTCCGAATGTGCACATATGCACACATCTGCACTTGTGCTGCACCGGCCGCTTCTTGTTCCTGTCTCTCGGATTCCTTTGGGCCGCTGGGTGGCGTTAAGCCTCCTGCCCCGGCGCCAAAGATCCCATCACACACTTATTTGCAACTAATGTGCGTTTTTCCCCAGTGCGAGATATTGGACCTGGAGAAGAACACACCCGTAACCTCACTTCCCAAGACAAGCTGCCCCTTTTTTCCCATTACCGAATAGTAACGTATACCAATAGGTGAATCGTGTTTCACTGCAGCTAAACGACTCAGGATCCCAATGGCCAAGGCCGCAGCTGAAGTATTATAGATAGATTCTTCACTTTTGCAGCGTGGAACAACGATGGTTTCAATATTGAGGACTATGTGGTTTCAAGACCTGCCTATTCTGCAGCTCGTTACGTCTCAGTTACTGTTTTCCATTTCCCAAGATAGTGAGTTTCGGCTGCAATCTCATTCATGATTATGGAGCAATTAGTACCCATCTTGATGACAGTCTGTCTGTAGGCGGTACTCAAAATTGGGTCAAAAGAAGGCCATAGTTTTAAGGAACTGCCGGTCCTAAATGGATCTCAACTTCATCCACGAACCAACATTGAAGCGGCAGATTCAAGCACAAAGTGGATATTCGGGTATGGAAAGATGGGGGATACTGAGTTGACGGGCCGGGGCGTGTAGATCTAGTTGTGCAAACCACCTGCTCTTTCCAGAGAAAGACCTGCTTAGAGCTACTGTGGTTTGTGTGCCTGTGTTCTGTGCCTTGCAGCACCTGTTCTGGAAACTACCTGTGCATAGAGCGCCTCATAGGTTACATCTACGGTTGGTGTGAGAGGAGGCATAAGTGGGAATGGAGACGGGCACCAAGGGCTCTGTCCGTTTTGGTTTCCGTTTAAGTGTCCGCTTAAGTGTCCGTTTAAGCTCACTTGATTGCAGATCATATCCGTAACTAGAATACATATATTCTCCAGACTAATCTGAAAATCCTGTTTTGAGAAGTGGGAATGCACGTTGCCCACCCAGTTTGGTATAATCCAGGAACGAGATGTCTGGAATGAGTATCAAGCAAACGCCCAATCGGGCAACATCTCAGAACATGCACCCCTTTCAAGTCTTGTCACACCTTGCCATACTTGTCTTGACCCAGATCGGAGCCTTACTTTGCAGTGCATGCCCCAGGGCCGATGATGCACTACGCCTCCTGCACGAACAGAGTAGATCAGTCTCCATATCGCTATACCATTCAACTGTCGCCTGGACTTTGTCATTTAGTTTGTGGTAACAATACTATGATACCAGAGACCTCCTTTCTTATACAGGAACTAAATGGTTGTTTTTACGAGTATCTACGTTGTTACCTGCTAAGTATTGAGAGCACTTTTTTGTCTTTAAGGAGATTTGTTAACTCTTAGAAAACTCCAACGGGAGCAGCCAAAACTCACGATGGGAGAGCCAGCCCTACCATTTGGCACAAATTTGCTTCAGGGACAAGGTGAAGCCTCTTCTTTTCCGTGACAGCAACATCCCGTCTTCGCTGAAAATTCTTGAGTCGCGTATGCTCATCCGGTCGATATCAATAACTCAAAGAGGTTGAGCCCGGCTAGCTCAATCGGAAGAGCGTGAGACTCTTACGAGTAACAGACATCTCAAGGTTGTGGGTTCGAGCCCCACGTTGGGCTATTCCTATGTTTAAACATTTCTTTTTTTGCACGTTCTGGGTATTATTCCATCTTTTTGGCCATAATTGTAACTATCAGGTGGATGGGCTGCCTGCCTCGTACGCACAAAACGCCTGATACTCGTGGGTTTGTGTCCGAGGGAGTTTCTTGTTTCCCTTATCAACACAGAGAGTATTAAATATCCTTGAGCCTCTTTTATTCTTGTATTCAAGGAAGTAGAAACAAAAGCGAGTAGTTAGGCTTCGAGTTTCAGCAAGCTGTTATACACATTCTATCCCTACGACATGAAGACTCCCAACTCGAGGTAGAGTCATTAACACATACTTGGAAAGATTGGGCAGGAGAACAGAGTGGCGATTTAGAACAAACGACGAAGGTAGAAGCCCTAGGAGCCGGTGGAACTACAACAGTTGTCGTGTATCTGAGACGGTCATCCATCACTCCCAAGCATACTTTCGAATGATTTGGATATGAATGTAATGCGCTAGTTGCGGCACCCTCGAGGAATGAACTCAATTACGGGGTTTTTGGTCTAAGATTCAATATATTTGCAGTGATATTGGCATGAGAATAACAGCCAGTTCCAATTTGAGTTGATAGATAGCTATAGGTCAAGGGTTTTGTTACTCTCTGCTTCCGGAAAGCAATCACAAGACTCGATCAACTCATGGCATTTTGTATCACATCCTTAGCGAAATTCGTAAGGCAATATATCACACAAACTCCATTACTAGGCCTGTCAAACTATCTTGCATGAAGGGAAAAGTAGAAACCCCAACACCGCTTGTCGCGTCTAAGTCATCTTTGCAAAAGCCAGAATACAACAATCGAACCCGAAAAAGAGAGATGCAAAACCATTGCAGGGTATCAATATCCCCCCTTAAAAAACAACCAACCTCCCAGTCCGGAAAGTTCCAAGTCCGAGGCGGTGGGATCCCTTGTGTCCCACGCGTCATAGCCAGAAATTGGACCTTGACCCTAGAAACTGTACACACCCTGTAGTTGGGAACCCAGCGTCTAATGGCATCATTCTGTCTGTATCACTACCATGTGAGGGGGGATGTACCAAGTAAAACTCGTCAGCTTCTTGAGGGTGTTCCTCCGTTATCTCATAAAGAGTGGGTATCTTATCAACTCCTGAAATCCTTATTCGACCAGTCCCAGGCCACACATGGCTGAAGAGTAGAGTTGAATAGTATGAAAATAAACAAAAATTAACAAGTTGCGTTAAGAAACGTGAGGGGGGACCATCTAATAAATAACTATTGAAAGCCTGGAAAAAAAACTTCCGAATATTGAAATGAGGGAAACCGCCATTTTGTCTGTCACCACAAAAGAGGGTCATCATATCAACCAGGCGAAAACAAAGAAATCCAGGGAATCGTGTGAAGCAAAACTCGAAGGTCAGAAATCCGGAAGCGGCACCAGTCGAGGAAAGTGGGGATATCGTCAAAGAGGAAACAGTACTCGTGTGTCATGCAGATCAATCGTGCCGTAAGACGCTTAGTTCCAGTCCAAAAAATAAAAAAAAAGATAACCAAAAAACGTGATTTCATCATAACATCGTTAAAAAGGATATGTGCTTTGGCGTTTCAAGCGAGCTAAGTGTTGGCGGAGAAAATTCATCACCAAAATAAAAGGGGGAGAGGAAGGGTAGGGATCGGTCGCTGAGCTAAGGCTAAGAGCCCGGTTACCTTAGTAGGCTGTAGCTGTCGACCCTTCGCTTGTAGCAACGGCGACCAGAGCCTCCAAGCGACCTAAAGGATCGTTGTTGACACGGTCTTGTTGCTGTTGTTGTGGATGTTGTTGAGGCTGGGCTTCCCTCGCAGGAAAACTGCTGAAGCCATTGAAATTAGGATGGACTATCCGATCAACATGAGCTGTTCGGCTGTCTTGTTCAGGTATGCCTCGTGTATCTCGATGAACAGTCACAGGCCCATGATACCATCCATGCCGCTTACTGTCTCTGGACGTAGTAATAGACGGTGCTGACATCGTGTGCTGATGCAGGGACCGACTGGCACCGGCAGACCTCTGTGACTGATAGGACGGCGGCTGTTGGTCCTCAAATCTCACCGTGGGTGGATTTGTTCGCACTTGCTCAGCCTGGGCCTGGACAGCTCTGTTAACATCAGAAGCCCATGCACCAGCACTATCCCGGGGGGGCGTGCTGTGATTGATGTCAAGCCGGCCCAGACCACGCTGTAGACTAGCATCATATCTGTTGAGGTTTCGCCTTTCATCTACCTCGACAACTTGCTGAATAGGGCGTCGCAGGGGTGGCTGAGAGTCAATCATCATGGGTGACGGGCCTCCCTGTGGTGGGGTGGGAGGGTGACGAGGAACTGGGTCAAAGGACTCAATACCTGGAAGGCGAAGAGTCGACTGCGGATTACTGGGAGTCGCAATCGGCGGCGGCGGATTTGGTCCGACAGACGACTGACTGACGACTGTGCTCAGCTGACTCGGATTTCCATTCCCGTGCTGACTATCGGAATGCCAAGTTCGCCGACGCCAGATCTCGTCAGAATCCCTTCGCGACCATTGTTCTGGGGATACGGGGTTGGGAGCGGGTTGATAGACAGAAGCGTTAGCAGAATTGATAGCTCCAGGAATGAAAGCTGATCGTCCAACGCCGAGTCCGGCAGCGGCCTGAAAGGGGTTTGCACCGGATGGTACGCTAAGGCGACGGCCAGGAGTCCTCGCTCCGGTAGTATAGGCACTGTGGGATCGGGAGTGGGATGAAGCCGGAGACGCAACCCCTGAACCCCATCGAGGACTGCCTGGTCCAGTCGAGAAAGTTGCTGATGTGGGAGTGCCATACTCACTAGGTGACGGGGGCCGATAGGAGCCGTAAGTACTGTCAGCGGTGCTGCGGTAAGACTCCATCGATACTCGCGATCGGGGATCAGCCATGACAAGGGGAGGAGGTCGGTGCCGAGGATCAGCAGCTGCGCCATATGCAGAGCCGACAGAGCTAATACTTGTGATGCTTGAAGTCGACAGGGACTTCGAGTGTCCACGCATAGGTCCTCCAGCGCTACCACCAGTTGATGCCCTCGCTCTATTTCCTGCCTGGCGAACACGGTCATTGCGTAGTTGGCGTTGAAGACGAGCGCCCGTTGCGGCAAGAGAATCTATGGGGATGCTCTCATTGACATGCACAGTTTGAGCATGCTGTCTGAGGTTGTCGAGCCTTGAGAAGCGTCGAGCGCAGTGACACTGAAATGGACGCTCACCAGTGTGTTTCCTGCTCTGAGTGTTAGATGCTACATCTGGAAACTGAAACAGCGTCGATTCTATCATGTCTTACCTTATATGCCTGGCTAAGTGTTCGCTTCGAGTAAAGCTTAGATTGCAGGGTGGATAATCAGTGCAGTAAAAGCGCTGAGATTTCTTCTTCTTGCTCGACCTAGAGCCATCTGCAACAGTACTGTCGTCGTCACTACCAACACCATCTTCCACATTGATTTGCTCTGTGTCCGAGTCGTCCATGTCCACATCCACCGAGTCGGCTGACTTAGCCGAATGTTGGGAGTTGTCGCGGCGAGGCATCCTGGAACGGGAGGACTGGTCAGGGGTCTGAGTAAATGGGCTGGAGGGTAGAGGCTGTTGCGGGTTCGTCGAAGGGTTGAATGTCACCCGTGTAGGTGTAGCTGTGTCGATGGGCCTCGAGGACTGGGGATGAGGCGCCGTGTTTGGCCGAGGGGTAACTGGTGATGAAGCCATGACGTCGTCTCGAGAAAGATTGTTTGCAAGGGGTGAGTTCACCGGTCGGAAGGTCGCCGCCATGGCAAGGGGAGCGACGAGGACCAGCGACGAACACGGTGCTGAGTAATTGTAAACCGTCGCGCTGTGATGGTGGCAGCGGGGGTTAGAAGTCGGGCACCGAGAATAAGGAGGTTCAAGTTGCACAAATAATACAATAAGAGGCGCAGGAGAGGGGGCACTCTGTACAAGTATAAAAAAGTTGATAGATGTGCCTCCAGGGCGGAACGAGATGATCTTGTCGCACAAGGGCAGCCTTGGTGAGGCTGAGAATGGTGAGACAGTCAACGAGGTCGGGAAGTGCGGGGCGGGCAAGCGTTGGTGCGATTTCTCCCAAGCAAAGACGGCCTGCCGTGTTGTGTGTATGCAGAGATGTAGCGAGGAAGATGGGAACGGATAAAGGAAGAGCGAGACGGCAGGAAGAGGTGGTAGAAAGAGGGCGGGCCGGATGAGACGGGAGAGGAAGATGAGAGTGAGAGCAAGGTGGAGTAGACAAGAGAAACACACCAAGGAAACAATGAGGAGGTTGAGGCGCCAGAGAGATAGTTTTAGCGACACTGAGAGGCGTCCCAAGAGAGTGCCTCAATAGGACATGCGAAGAAATGCCGGTGGGGGGGAGGCGTGCGTGGTGGTGATGCAAGCGAGCCAAGCCAGGGCCTAGATCCGTTGCACTGACGAAAGAGCCACACACAGAGAAACCAGTTCAGCCAGGGGAGAAAGTCAGCCGTGACAATATAGGTGCGCTGGTCGATGATGGGGTCGTTGACGTCTGTTAATTTTTTTTTTCAGGTCTGGTGTTCCAGCTATTACAAAGAAGTACTCTTCATCGAAATGAGAATTGGTGGTGGTGATAATGATGATGCGGATGCTATTGTCGAGGCTAGGTTTTCGTGTGGCGAGTTGGCGAGAAGGATTGTTTGAAGGGTCTGAGTGGGCGAAGCGAGCCAAGAGGCAAAAATGTAAACTGAAGGAAAGGAAACAGGGGCAGCAAGGGACGAGTGGCAGGGGCAGCGTGGCGATGATGTATGTCTGTGGTTGCTTTTCCCCCAAATCGATTGTCATGGTGGAGTCCGGATCCGGGATGGAGGGATGGATCGCGAAGCCAATCCTTTCTCGGGTTTTGGTATGGGCCACTCCGTGCCCTCAAAAGCTCGCAAGCTCTCAGCCTGAGTCTGGTTAGTCGGCCTGCCCGACTAGCTACCTTAGAAATCCAGCCTCCATGAAAGTTGCCT